GGGGAGACTGGATCACAGGATTTAGTGTTACAGCTCAAGACAAGTGACTCAGCTCAGATCTCAGTGATTCAGCTCCAGCTCCAAGTCTAAGTGATCCAGCTCTAAGTGATCCAGCTCCGAGTCTGAGTGAGGTGATCCAGGCTCCGAGTCTGAGTGAGGTGATCCAGGCTCCAACTTTATTCGGGTAAAACTAGGACTATTTATAGTGTAGAGACAGTAGAATAAGTCTTAGCTGATAGGTACTTTTAGGATGCCTCATTTACATAGGGCGGTGGGCTTCTATCAGGCTATCAGACAACGCCTGATTAAAACCTGGTAGCTCCTGTGCCGGAGGGCATGTATTTGTGGTGAGCACTTTAAAAGAAGAGTCAGGGAGGATGCCAGGAAGGCACTCTGCTATGAAAGGAATCTGCAGCACATGGTTTCCGAGCTCGTGAGCTATCTGGATGTGAAGAGACTTCTACTTGCATAACAGAGGACCCCAACAGTCCGACAATATGAAATTTGTCAATATATCAACTCACACTCTACCTAAAGGCATCAATCCTCACGAAATTAAACAAAATAAATTATAATAAGTGGATGTTATTCATGTTAAAGTGTTTGGTAAATTACAGTATGTGCATTCCATTGACATATACTCTACTTTTTGATGGGCTTCTATTTCGTCTAACAAAAAAGCATCTCTGTTATTCTACAGTTTAAAAATGCCAAGAATATCTGGGGCTGGAGAGATGGCTCAGCGGTTAAGAACACTGACTGTTCTTGTAGAAGACCTGGGTGAGAATCCCAGCATCTACATGGCAACTAACAACTGTCTGTAACTCCAGGGGATCTGACACCCTCTTCTGTCCTCCGTGGGCATTGCATGACATGAGTGCACTTACATACATGCAGATATAGCATTCATACACATAAAACAAAAATAATAAAATAATTTTTTTAAAGCCATGAATATCATAGATATACCTAAACAATTAAAAACTGAAAATATGCCTACATATCTCTCTTTTAAATTTCAAACATTTTAAAACAATGAAATATTAAACATACTACTAGTATTCCATATAATCCTCAAGGTCAAGCCATCATTAAAAGATCTAACCATGGGGCTGGAGAGATGGCTCAGCAGTTAAGAGCACTGACTGCTCTTGTAGAGGACCTGGGTTTGATTCCCAGCACCCACATGGTGGCTACAAACCGTCCTTAACTCCAGTTCCAGGGGAATCCAAAGCCCTCTTCTGACCTCCTCAGCACTGCACGACACAGGTGCACTCACATACATGCAGGCAATACACTCATACACATAAAATAAAAAAGATCTAACCATACATTAAAGGAAATGCTTATTAAACAAAAAGGGGGAAAGAAAGCCCTTGTCATATTCTTCTAAACTCTTTATTTGCTTTAAATTTTTTAAATCAAAATGACCAAGGATTGACAGCTGCTGAAATACATTGGCCTAAAAACTCCTGAAATGTTACAACTTATTTGGTTCAAAGATATTCAAACAAATCAGTAGAATAAAGCACATGTTATTAATCGGGGAAAAGGACATGCTTCTATTTCCACAGGTAAAACAAAACAAAAACCCCGGATTCCTGATGGTTTGATGAAGCTGAGAAATGAACAAATGACCTCAATTTGATCCTGATTTGGCTGCTGAACAGATGGCACATCTCACACTTGGGCCTGGTACTCGGAAAGTAGCCAGACCCTTACCATCCACTAATTCCTGTGCCTTACCTACCTGGGGACAACTGAAAAAATGATCAAAAAGAATAATTGAACTAATAATTCTGTTATGGGAATCATCGCTATCACCGCTACTGCAGCAAGCGCAGGGGTGGCATTCCATCAAAGCATACAAACTACACTTTGTGCAACAGTGGCACACTGATTCTGAAAAGCTGTGGAGCTCTCAGAGACATTGATAGTGTTCTTAGTGCCGAAATCACAGATTTGGAATCCAGTGTTGTTATGCTAGGAGACCAAACTGTTAGCTTACAAAGACAGTTAACCTTAAAATGCAGTTGGAATGTTATGTCAGTTCTGGGTTATTCCTATGCAACTGAATGCTTCTTTATTCCCTTGGGAGAATGTTAAGAGACATTTACTTAATCATGGAAACTTAAGAGATGTTAGGATTTCAGTCTGATATATCTCACGGGTTTGGTGAACAATTGAAAGAGTTATCTGGAAATGACATAATTGATAGTATTGTTGGTAATCTAGAAAAATTAATTCTCTGATCAACATGTGTCTAGCACTGCTTTTCATTTTAATTCTGTGTCTTTTTGTATTATTCGTTTCAGTCTGGTAAAAATCTAACAGAACCCACATCACAGCACAACCCCGAGCTGCAGAGTCGGCCTTATGATGCAGACCATGGCCAAACAGAAGGGGGGCATGAAGGAGAGCATGAAGACGTTAAGCGCGGTCAGGGACAAGGTCCGGACATTTCTTGAAAACAAGCATGTTGGGCTCGGCAGAACACTGCCTTAGTCATAGATCAGACGAAAACATCGTAAGTCTAAGTCATGGTACTGCAAAACGTAGGATGTCTATTTAATGTTAAACATAATCACCGGCTGACTGGCCTTCCTGGAAATTGTTAAAAATCTATAGATTGTGTAAGAAACCAATATACTCTTTGTAGCCTATTGATTAACTTTAAATGTAAACCTGTAGAGTGTGCTTTGTTCTCTGTGAAACTAATCCTTTCATGTGTTCTGGCACAAACACCAAGCTTGTAACTGTAGTTTTGAGAGTATAAAAAAGCACTGCTAAAGAATTAAACTCACTCTTCCCCACCTGAGGGTTGAGTCCTTTGCCTTCACTCATTCTGTCCATCCACCAGCAGACCTGAGTCTCTACATGAGAGGTAGATACAGAGGGCAGCCAGCATCCTCTTGCTGACTCCCTGGACACTGGGATCAGTTGCTGCCTCCAGCCTTCCCTCTAAGTGTCCTTTCGAGGGCACCCCAGACAATAACTCACTTCCGGAGGGAGGCTTCCAGAAACAGGTGACTTTCTTCAAAAATCTTTTGGGGTGTGGATAGCAAAAACAGCCAGAATAGCAGGACAGCAGGGAGCAGAAACCCTGGGGCCTTGGAAAGTCTCAAGGGATACCCCCTCTAGGAGTCTGCCCAGGCCCACACTACTCCCCTGTTGCGATGCTCCTAGGTCTGAGGTCTAATTCTCTTGGATCTTGGTGGGACCTCCAAAATGTTGTGGGGTGCTTCACCAGAGAAGATTATGTCCTTTTAATAAGAAGATGAAAGTCATTGCTGCCCAGGGCTACTGCACACAGGTGTCAGAATCCAAGTGTGTAGTCCCGGGCCTTCTCTAGGGTAAGCTTTTATACAGAGAAACTACAACCAGGGGTGAAACATTTAAGTTCCCAAGCTTACAGGTACAAATACCCCTTAATATTTTCTATTCTGTTAAGCAACAATTACTATTTTGCAGAAGCAAGCCAAGCATAACCTACAGAAGACATAAATCTGCAGTTAGCAGGTGCTCTCCAGGACACGCTGACCTGTTCCCAAGACAACTAGGGTCCAGCTGATGAGTGTTCCCATACCCTGCGCCAACTGCCTGATAATCTCAGAGACTAGAGTCAGGCTTGAAGGCTTTAACATGCCATAGCTATGGTCAAGAAGGTGCCCTATTACATTCCCCACTGGTTCTATGGGCATGAGTCAAATCTTAGACTCATCTAGGAGATTATATCGTTCTCTTAGGACCATGATTTTTACTGCATTTACTCATTGTCTAATATAGCTAGTTAGGCAATTGATCAGACAAGGTCTGACTGTCAGAGCCAGGAGTAGGAATACTAGAGGCCCAGAAAAGGCTGTGAGCAGGGTAGTAAGCCTTGGAGACCAGGAAAATAAACACTGATATTAGTTGTCTATGCTGGATAGCATTAGTTGTCAACTTGACACACCTGGGTAGAGGGAGTTTCAATTGGGGAATTTCCTCCATTGAACTGGCCTATGACCATGTCTGTGTGGTATTTTGATTTTTGAGTGATATGCGAGGGCACAGCCCACTGTGAGCAGTGCCACCCCTGGGCAGGTTGTTCTGTGTTGTATAAAAAAGCAGGCTGAGCATGGGCCAGGGAAACAAGCCAGTAAGCAGTGCTCTATGACCTGTGCTTCAGCTCCTGCCCCCAAGTTTCTGCCCTGAGTTCCTACCTTGGGCTCCCTGAAGCACTGTGACCTGGAAGATGTGAGCCAAATAAAGCCTCTCCTCGCCAAAGGTTGGTATTGGTCAGAGTGTTTTGTCACAGCAATTGAAGGTAATCTAAGTTAACTTCCAAGCCCTTTTCTAAGAAATGATCCCAAGTTAAGGAAATGAAACTTTACTGTGATGCTTTTGAATATGTATAATGCACATAGATATGCAATCCTTAAAATATGTGAACTCCCCTCAATTGGAGTCCAGATTTTGAGGTTTGTACCTGCTGGACCAGGCTGCAGCCTAGATTCCTGCTTCCTGTAGGCTCCTGGGGTCCTCCCTGATCTTCCCCACAATAGTCCTGCTATGCAGTTACTGTTCTGGATTAAATAAGTACAACAAAGACCACGGCTCAGCACAGCCTTCAGAAAGCGTCCTCCAGCATTCTTGACACGCTATTTTAAAACACAGAACTTGTTTGCTAAGAAGGAAACTAGCTGAGCATAACAGAACGTGTGGCCTGTGCTAGAATGCTCTCTTCTTACCAAGACTGAGGTCCAGGGCACTGGGTTCCTTTATCTGCCTCAACGCCTAGTCTGTGCAGCTGTGCTCTGCGTAGACACCCACCAGAGCCAAGACCCGCCCTGGAGTTCCAGTCAGTGCTCCACCCCACACATGTGCTTTTGGTTTCACAACTGCCTTGAAAGTTACGTTTCCTTATATCAACTTTCTGGAATCTTCCTCCCTTCATGGGCTCACAGCATCTGTCTGTTCTCCAGCGGTCCTGCAGGACTGGCTGTTTGTATTTCTCTGCTCGCTACAACTGAGTTTTTACTCTTTTCTATCAGTCATTTCCTTTCCACCCCCTCATCATTTCCATCCCTGGCCCTCTGACTCACAGAATCTTTGACTTTCACTTCCTGTTTCCTTCTCTCTCATCACCAGTGTCCCCCACAGACTTCTGGGTGTCCACCTCTCGAGACAATCCCGCTGCTCCAGCATGGCCAGTGATCTGCAGGAGGAGGTGACTTGCCCCATCTGCATGGACATCCTGAGGGAGCCTGTCACCATTGACTGCGGGCACAACTTCTGCCTAGTATGCATCAGTCAAGTCCAGGACGCTTCAGACAGTCTCCTGTGTCCCCTCTGCAAGGCTTCCGCGAACAGGAGCACGTTCAGGCCCAACAAGCTGCTGGCCACTCTCATCGAGAAAATCCAAGTTATGGAAGCGGAAGAGGCAGAGCTGAGGTGTCCGAGGCACAGGGAGAAGCTCCATTACTTCTGTGAGGAGGACGGGGAGCTTCTCTGTTTGGTGTGTCGAGAGTCCAAGGACCACAAATCCCACACTGTCACCCCACTAGAAGAGGCTGTTCAGAACTACCAGGTAGGGCTCCGGACCCTCCTCTGCCCTCCCCCAAAGGAGAGAGCTCCCTGGGGACATGGGACCAGCTGCCTGCTCCACTGGGTTGGCACCCATGCCCCACTTCCTGCTCCTCAGTGGGCAGTTTGTACCAGGGGCTCCAGGCTCCAGCAGCTGAGCTCTGGGAAATGCCAGTCAGCAATCAGGGCAGGAGAGAATGGTCAGAACGGGAATTTTGACCCAGAAGGTCCCACTCAAGTCCAGACTCCTGAGTTTACTTAGGACCTTCAAGGAAGCATTTTAAGTGTCCCAGCCAGCCACTGCCACAGCACTGAGGATGAACAGCAGAGCCTGGGACATCTAGGCAGCCAGTGCTGGGCCACTGAGCTGCATCTCCAGGCTGGGTCTCACTTTGGCTATCCCTTGGGAGGACAAAAAACTGTCTCTTAAAGATTTTGGTTGGACAGATGAGAGCAAGTGTGCACTTAACACCAAAGCAACATCCTGAGGGTCACAGTCATCACAATGCTCTTGTCTTAGCTCAGGAAACTTCCAGATTTCTCCCTCCCTATCCCCTCTGGTCTCCAGCATGAGAACAAAAGGGGGTATTGGTAATAATTTGACAAACTAGACGGAGCTTTCCTGACTCCGCGAGAGGGGAAACCTGCCCTACACCCCGTTTCCCTGCAGGAAAAGATTCAGTCTCAAGTGGACTTCTTGGGGCAGAAGGAGAAGGAAATACTAAGAGAGAAAGCACAGGGAGAAAACATGATCCGGGTCTTCAGGGTAAGAATCACTGCCATCTCCTGCCCCTGAAGCAGAGTCACCTCTGTTTAAGCTCCCAGAGTTCCCTGTTACACTGAGCCAGGACCAAATCCTGCTGACACAGAGGCCAGAATGCAGGCCAGACAGGAGGAGCAGGATACGGAGTGTGTCCTGTGCTCCGGGGATGCACTGATCTGCCTGTGGGTGAGCAGCAGAGTGGGGTGCAGTTCTGCTCCCCCCACAGCACAGGCATAAGGAAAACACACACTGTTCAGAATCTGAAATAGGGAACTTATACAGAGATACACACACAATACACACATATACACACATATATAAAAATATGCGTACTTACACCCACACATATACATACATGTACACACACACATGGATCCTTGAAGGTAATGATACACCATCCATCCTGCACCTGAGAACACAGGAAGTCTCTGAAGGAGGCTGTCCTTCCCTGTTCCCCCAGCCCACTGCCTGCACTGCTGTTCAGGATAAGCTCTGAGCACACTTCAGAAGGAAAAGTTCTGGAAGGTAGTGGAAGTCTGGGTTTCATCTTTGGGTCCCTCTCCTTGTCCCCAGACCCAGGTGCATCTAGAGAGACTAAAGATCCTGGAAGAATTCAAGTGCCTGAGACAGAGCCTGGAGGAGGGGGAGAGCTTCCTCCTGGCCAGGCTGGGCTGGCTGGAGCAGGAGGGAGCCAAGCAGATGAAAAGTTTTCTCACTGGGGCACAGGCACAGCTGAAGTTCCTCCGGAAGCTCACTGAGTCCCTGCAGGCCAAGCAGCAAATGCCCCTCAGACAGCTGCTGCAGGTGAGTCCCTTGGGAGCAGATGTGCAAACAGGTACCACCCACCCCGGTAGTTTCTGTCATCTCAACACAAACCAGAGGAACCTGGGAAGAGGGAACCTCAAGCAAAGAATTTCCCAGATCAGGTTGGCCCGTGGCCATGTCTGTGAGGCATTTTCTCAGCTGCTGTTGATGTGGGAGGAGGGCCCAGACCACTGAGTCCTCTTGTCACACTGCCATGTTTGAAGTGTTTGGTTCCTGCATGGGGCTGTCCAGTTTCCATCAGATTGAGTAGCGCAAGTGCAGCTTACACACACACTCCTAGAGAACTCAGAGGACAACTTGAAGGAGTCTCTTTATTCCTTCTACCATGTGGGCCCCAGGGATCAAACTCAGGTTCTCGGACTGGGTGGCAGGTGCCTTTACCCACTGAGTCAACTTGCCAGTCCTTGTTTAGTTCCTTAAAGAATCACTTTGCAAAACAACCTATCTCCTCTTAACCTGCCAGCAGAGTTCCCTGCTGTCTCAGAAGCAAAGCTCCTCTTCAGAACGGCCCTCTGCCCTCCTTACTCAGTTCCTCTAGATGTCTAACCACTGTCTTTTCTACTGGCAAATTCTGTGCTTTTGAAGCAGTTTCCCAGGGTGGGAGAGGAAAGGAGGGGGGGAGAGAGAGGAGAGAGAGCAGAGAGAGAGAGAGAGAGAGAGAGAGAGAGGAGAATATAATATACTGGGGTGTCCTCACCCTGCCTCCAGCAGGGTCTGAATCCCGTCTTGGTGCCTGTGACTCAGGCCAGCTCTGAGGCTGTGCTCTCTTTCTTTTCCAGGACATCAAGGTCATCTTGAGAAGGTATGATGGGCGTCCCAGGGCTCCGTGCTTTCTCCTTCACTCACGCCCACATTCAGCACGCATGCAGACACTCCATCCTCCCCACACTCCACCCACACTCTAACTTGGCTGTGAACTCTTCAGGCTGCAGGTGGGGAAGGTAAGCTGTGCATAGTAGCAAGAGGGCAGGTGGACGTGGACACAAGCTCTGTAGTCCACATCCCCAGCTCTTCAGCACAGTCTCCTCCCTCCTGACACCCCCTGCGTGCCCCTTGAGAACCACTGGGCCTATTTCCTACAACATCTCCCCCCCCCCTCCCCCTTCCCTCCTCTGCCTCCATCTCCCACCCTCATCTCCACATCTCCTCCTGCCCCCTCACTGACCCACATCCATAGTCCTGGCCTCATGACACCCAGCTCACTAGACCTACACTGTTCCCCTCTCTCTGCCTCTAATCCACACACCTGAATCACAGGCTCTTCCTCCCTATACTGCACCCCCTGAACTCACCGCACAGCTCACGGTGTCTTCACAGGAGTGAGGAATTTCAGTTCATCAACCCAACCCCAGCTCCTCGGGACCTGGCAAAAAACATAAGTGAAACAAAATCAAGACACGTGTCCATCATGGAAATCCTGAAGGAGTTCAAAGGTAAGGAAGGGCCGTCACCTCCCTGGGCGTTCTCTCCATCACCCAACAATACTGTGTTAAGGTCCAGGTGTCAGCAGTGACCCCTGAACCCCGCCAGTGCCAGGCTGTCCACCGAGAGCTATCATTCTGCACTGTAACAGGGATTTCACAGTTTTTTTGTGGTTTTGGGGATGAAACCCAGGACTTTATGCATGCGAGACAAGCATCTACCAACTGAGGCACATCACCTGCACCAAGAGCACCTTACATATGAGCTACACATGAGCATTTTTGCCTTGTCAGATTATGAGTGAGGAACTGGATGCTTGGTTTTTAGTAGGTGCTGGTCACACCAGCCAGTGGGCCCCAGAATATGGTGTTCACACTCACGGCTGCTGTAGGTGAGGAATGCATAAGGCCTAGAATGAAAGTAGAATGTAAAACACACTAATAAAAACAGACAGGGGCTGGAAAGTTGGCTCCGTGGTTAAGAGAAGGTATTGCTCTTGTAGGGGACCAGATTTCAGCTCCCAGCACCCATGGAGAGCAGCTCACAACGCCTGTGAGATCTGATCTCCATGGATATCTGCACATATCCACATACTGGCACACAAGTACACATAAAAACAATAAGACTTTGAAAGCAAAACTAAAACACGGCAACAATTTATTTTCAAAATGATTAGACTGTGTTATTCAGCGTAGTCTCTTTGTTTTATTTTATTTTTGGTTTAATTTCATGTGTAAGAGTATAATGAAAGAGCACCCATGTCAGGCTAATAGGCCTGCAAGGGCCAGAACAGGGTGTTGGAATTCCCTAGAACTGGAGTTACTGATGGTTCTTAGCTGACATGTGGGCGCTGGAATCAAACCCAGGTCCTCTTAATCACTGAGCCATCTCTCCACCCCCATAGTCTCTTCGTGATTAGTAAAAAATGAAATTCCAAGCACCTTTAATCCCAGCACTCAGGAGGCAGAGGCAGGTGGATCTCTGTGAGTTCAAGGCCAGCGTGGTCTCCGTAGCGAATCCAGGACAGCTGGGGGCTACAGGAAGACCCTGTCTCAAAAAGACCAAAAAGAAAAAAAAAATGAAATTCCAACATCAGCATACTGAGAAGCTTGGATGTCAGGCACCCAGCACTGCACTGTGCCTGGCTTCCACCAAGTTTTTATTTTACACATTGAAATAATAGTATTTTGAAAATACTGACCTAGGGGTTGGAGAGATCGCTCAGTGGTTAGGAGCACTGACTGTTCTTGCAGAGGACCCAGGTTCAATTTCTAGCACCCACATGGTGGCTAACACCCATCCATAACTGGAGTTCTAGGAGCTTTGACCTCCAAGGACATGGCACAACACAGGTGCACTTACACACATGCAGGCAATACACTCATACACATAAAATAAAAATAATAAAATATTTTTTACAAAACACTGAGCTAAAAAATGTACATGATTAACATCATCTTTCTTTTTCTTTTTTTAGATACTATCTGTGTGTGTGCAGCCCCGTCTGTCCTTGAACTCATTATGTAGTATTATCTGGTCTAAAACTTGTCATCACTCTCCTGTCTCAGCTCTCTGAGTGCCACTGTGCCCTGCTTGGTGCACGCCTTTAAAACCAGCACTCAGGAGGCAGAGGCAGGCGGATCTCTGTGAGTTCAAGGCCAGCCTGGTCTACATAGCGAGTTCCAGGACAGCTGGGGCTACGGGGAGACCCTGTCTCAAAAAAAAAAAAAAAAACACTGGAGAATTTAATAGATGCTCACATCTGAGGCTCCCACTGTATTTCTGGCAGCCACTGAGGGCAGCCCAGGGCAGCTCTCTGTGTTTGGACACTTCTGGGTCCACTGAGACTACATGAGAAATTCCAGCCCCGACCTCCGCAGACTCTGAAATCAGTGCCTCACTGTGTGGTGCTGGTTCCTTGGTTATCCTTGGTTAACCTCTGAGGACTCTGCATTTCCTTCCCTCTCTCCCATAGACAGGCTCCAGGCTGAGGTGAAGGAAGACAAAAGCAGATTCCTGGACAGCTTGAAGGAAGAGGACAAGGAGAGCTGTGAGTCCCTGGGCTGCTTCCTGCTGTTTGGGGGCAGTGAGACATGCAGAGAGAGATTGTGCCCCTAAGGGGAGGGGAGGCCCAGTGGGCGAGGAATGGGCCATTGCACATGTTTTATTATTTTTTAAAGTTTATTTTATATTTCTTTTGTTTTACATTAGTTTTCTTAAAAAATATTTTATTTATTATTTTATGTGTATGAGTGTATTGCCTGCATGTATGTGAGTGCACCCGTGTTGTGCAATACTGCAGAGGTCAGAAGAGGGCTTCGGATTCCCCTGGAACTGGAGTTAAGGATGGTTCATAGCTGCCATGTGGGTGCTGGCGGGTCCTCTACAAGAGCAGCCAGTGCTCTTAAACACTGAGCCATCTCTCCAACCCCAGATTATTTTAAATTATGTGTGTGTTTCTGAGGGTGTCAGCACAGGTGCATGCAGTGCTGTCAGTGACCAGAAGAGGGCAGCACAGCCTCCTAGACCTGGAGCGACAGGCAGTTGTGAGTCCCCTGAAGAGGCCTTCCAAGAGCAGTGTGCACCCTCAACTCCTGAGCCTTCTCTCCAGCCATATTTTACTATTTTAGACTTGGGTAATTCACAAATAGTGACAACCTTCCAATTGAGAAATGTTCAAAATCAATAGAAATTTTACTAATTAACTTCTACCTTGCACAAAGCCCATCAGTCACATCTCAGTCTATTTTTTAAAATATATTTTATTTATTATTTTTATTTTGTGTGTACAACTGTATTGCCTGCATGTATGTGAGTGCACCTGTGTCATGCAATGCCATGGAGGTCAGAAGAGGGCTTTGGATTCCCCTGGAACTGGAGTTAAGGATGGTTCATAGTCGCCATGTGGGTGCTGGGAATCAAACCCGGGTCCTCTGCAAGAGCAGTCAGTGCTCGTAACCACTGGGCCATCCCTCCATCCCCCATCTCAGTCTATTTTAAGCAGAGTCACTGGGGCCAGTGAGCTCAACACAGCTGAGGACTGGAGACCCCCATCATATCAGCTGTGATGATGTCATCAGAGATAATTCTGCTACTAGAGTCCTTAGTTAAAATCTGGGCTCTGACAGCACCAGGAAGTCAGGCTCAGCCGCCCATCCTCACCCCACCACTTAGAAATAATAGTGTGAAGCAGAGAACGAGGGTTTATTCAATGTGGGCACATTGGGAAGAGGAAGAAATGAAGGGAGTAGTGTCCCAAGTCCATCTTCAGGGCTCTGACACCAGCTTTAGGTTAATATAGACTGCGTGAGGTTTTCATAACTAAGCCCAGGGTGACCCATCACTGTCTCAGCTCTCTGTCCTCCAGCTGCTCTGATAACCTGTCAGAACCTGTGAGATCTCTCCCAGGCAGGCAAGTTCTTCCTCTGGCTGCACCAGGGTCCAGCCTCTCCCTTCCCTCAGTGTGGGGTTCCTGGGGATCGTCATTCTTTGAGGCCCATTGTTTCAACAGTGTGATGTCATGGTGAGGGACACAGTGTCTCTTTAGAAATTCTTCTCTCTTGACAGGGCAGCTGTGGTGCTGCCCCCTAGTGGTCACACTGGTTTGTGTCATTTTTCTAAGGGTCTCCTATGTGCTGAGCACCCACAATCAGTGTCAAAGCCCCAAGTCTGTACTCCAACGATGGCTTGCTGTCAACAGTTCATAGTGAGGCCACTGGAACTCCAGAGAAAAGGGAGTATCTCCCACTTTGCGGAACAGTAGAGAGATTCTGCACCAGTTTATCCTCCCAGGCCTGGTGCTGCAGGCCCGTCATCCCCTCACACAGGAGGCAGAGGGCAGAGGCTGGAGGAACACTTTTAGTTTGAAGCCAACCTTTCCCTCAGCTGGTTCTATGCAATGTAAGGTTATAAAGTGAGACCCTGTTTTTTTAAAAATTACTGCACCAATACATGCAAACACAAAGGCAAATTCATTTATCTGGTAGCAGGAAATTGCACTCTGCACTGCACTGGGGTGGACAGGTCCAGGGCTTCCTCCATCAGCATCATTCCTGTACAGGAAGAGCTCCTGGAGGTTGAGAGGAGGGTTTATGAGTTCCCCAACTCACACCTGGTGGGGAGTTTAACTTCCTAAGACCTAGCAGAGTTGGCCAGCAGAGACCCCCCGCCTCGCCTGTGACACAGAAAATTCAAAAGGTTCCTGTACTTCCCAGGGGTGGTGGGTGGTCCCCATCTGGATCCAGTGACTGATGATGGTGGCCAGGTGTTTACTTAAATGTTTTCTTTAAATGTTTACTTTAAATGTTTTCTTTCTCCAATTCCTAGGGTCCCTGTTTGAGAAAAATAATGCTGAGTTGCCCACCTCAGGTAGGAGTCCTGGCTGGCACACTGGTCTTCCTGGAGAGATGGGAGGGGACCTGGGGTCTGCAGGTCACCATGCTCTGTCCATCCCCAGCACTGACAGTCAGGGGATGGTGGAGACCAGACCTCAGGAAGAGCTCCCTAACATGCAGGACCCCTCTTCCCCTGTACTGAATGGTTGCTGTCAGTTCCCTCCTGAGATGGCCAGGGACAAGGACAGAGCAGAAGGAGGGGTTAGAGACCAAGGTCAGGAGGGGCTGGGAGGAGGGGCTGTGGACTCTTCCAGACTTCAGGTGCAGAGATGCTAGACATGGGTGGTGACTGGCATCTCACCCACTGTCTCTGCCTCCCCAACAAATTCTCCCCTAGAAAGTGCAAGGCCCCCAACAGAGAATTTAATTTTGTAGTCACCCCACCTCTGCCTGATGCCCCTGAAGCTCAACAGGCCACAACTACTTGGGGGGAATTCCTGCTGATCAGTCCTTCTAAGCACTGGCCTCTCTTCCTTCTCTCTCCAATGGTGATGGACCAACAAACCACGGTGTCAAATGCCCACTACACACTCCATTCCAACCTCACTTTGGGATCTCTTTGTGGGGACAGAAGACCCTTCAGTATCCCTCCTGCAGGGAAGCAGGGCATCTTATGGGGAAGTTCCTGGAGATGAAGACCACCATGACCCTGCAGGGAGTCCTGATGACATAAGGGTGACATTGGGTGAGTGGGGAAGAGGCCTGGGATGCTGACCATGGAGATGGATGTGAGGGTCATGAAAACCTGGGAGGAGGGAAGAATGTATTTATGTACTTATTTGTATTTATTTTTATTTTATAAAGTTTACAATTGCATACTAATTGTTAGGAATAGGAGTGGAAAGAGGCATAGGTTCAAAAGGAAGTAACCAACTTCCATGATCCAAACTGACCATTTATTAGTCCATGAATGGTGGAAAGAGCAGTGAGATCAGCACAGCAATCACACTGAGTTGAGTAGCAGGCGACTTTAAGTATTCCAGAGAGTTATATGGGTTGGTGTTTATAAAAGCCCCCAGGGCCTAATAAGGTCTGAAGAACAAGTATCCACTTTATGGCTGGTGGTGGTATGTTCTGGGGCTATAGTTTCAAAGCAGGATCTAATAATGGTCTGATAAAGCCCAAGGGCTGACCATGCTCTGTTAAGTCCAATCAGCAGGACTGGTGGGTTATGACCAGTTGGGGTTTTTTGTCCTATCTCCCTTTATTCCAGACCTGGAAGAGAAATAGATAGGGGTGAAGGAGTGCCATAAGTCATCCTGAATGCTTCCTGATTAGAGTGGTTGTCATGGGGCTGAGGGATTCAGGGTCCATTGGAAGAGGGGTGTAAGGTACGTCAGTTCTCTGGTGGCCTGGAGCAGGAACATTGTCTTGACTTTGTGGAGGATTGGGTGAAGACTATTTTGGCTTCTGCCCTCATGCGGGTCTGTAAGAATCTTTGGAGACAGTTGATTAAGCATGGTGTGATGGGTTAGCACAATAATGGGCTTATCTCTCTTGGCTGGAGGTGAGTATTGCAATGCTGAATTATTTTAAGATTTGAAGTCTTACATCTAAGTAGCATATTTTAAAAGAAACAAATCATTAAACATAATTCTAAATAACTTTTTATATGAACTTAAGCCTAATATCTGAGAGGTACATTCCCTTGGACTCTTAAAGAAACATACCAATTACTTTAATCTTTGCTTATACTTTCAAGTTGGGTGTTTAAAACCATGCAGGTGGCTCAAGTTAATTAAATTATTTTTACTGTTAAGGTCACATGAGGATTTCATCCTCGGGGGTCACTTGGGCTTTGGGGGAGGCCCCTGGCTCATTTGGCCTTTCTTCTACCAGCTTCATCCATGTGAGGATGAGTCAGTGGTCTTCCTTGACCATGACACTGCTTGGAAGTATTGAAGAAACTTATCCTGTATGTTGACTCTCCTCTTTGTAGACTGGACATTGGTTAGAGTTCATCTAGTGGAGTCTCCATGTCCTCTCTGGAAAAGAGGACAGGTGACTCATTATAGTTATAGGACATTTTGAGATGCCCCGTAGTCCTCTGAGATTTAGTGGATCTTGGAAGGCAAGGAGCGAAAAAAATGTTCCTTAAATCCCTCTGATCGGATTAGCATAGGACGCAAAGTGTCATTATCAAATATGCAAGAAGTTTTGTACTTTTAATTACTGTGTAGTAAGTAGATAAAGCTTGAATAAAAAAATCAAACATTCTTTAGTAAACCTTGACTCTACAACTTTTTCCTAAGCTAGCCCTTATAATTGTTAACAAGAACTAATTTAACTAGAGGTTGGACTAAACTTTGACCTTAGAATAATTTAAGATTATTTATATATTACTTTCAAGTGGATTTAGATACATAAAGGGCCCAGAGAATGTGGCAAGAGTGGACCCTTTAACCTTGTAGATTTCCACAAAGAACTGAACTTGTATGGCCTAAGTCAAAGAAAGGAGGGATGTAAACACCAAGGGTCAAGTAGGCATAGCCCAAGGAAAGGATTTAAACCAATTCTCTTAGGTCTGTTTCAAATGAAGGCTGTTCTGAAAACAAAACCGGCTTGTTTCTTCCCCATCCTCCCACACTCTATTTTGTAGTGTTTCAGAAGGAAGAGGTGGAGGGATAACATCACATACCTATAAAAAAATTCAGCTGGTCAGACTCCAAACCAATCTCATCCCAAATTACTGTTCCCTTGTGGACTGTGCCCGTCAGGTAGAGGGAGGCAAAACCCAGCTCCTCTTGACCCAAGCCATCTTGTTATGGGCAGTAGAAAGCATGCTGTGTCCTACATCCCAAAACACATTCCATAAATTTCAAATGTATCACTTGTACAACACAGAGGAACGTAACGGACATTTTCCAGCAGCTTCCGGCAACCCCAATGCTTGTCTGCATCCATCCAACACAGAGGGGCAGACTGAATGTTTTCTGACTACAACAGCAATTATCATAATAACTGCTCTTTATGTCTGTAGTGCCTGACTACCAGGAGCACAGTTTCCAGTTCCTCTTTTTGCTGAAGGCTGTCTCTGTAGAGAACAATCAAGGTTTCTGTTGTCCTAGGTAACTGTTCTATATAGGACACCTTAGATGCTCATTTAATCAAGGAGCACCAGTACTTAAGTATATAGTGAGGTTGAGGATTTGAGTAAGTAAATATTCATAACACACAAGAAAAGATTAATGAAAGGAAATAATTATTTATAACTTGATTTAAACCAAATTAGTATTATTTTATCATCTAGGAATATACCAAGTGAAACATTAAATTTCATAAGCTATGAAAAGGAGTAAAAAATGAGAGAAATGTTTAGTTACTTGGGGGTAGTGGACTGTCAATTAGTTGAAGATGAGTACCGACCAGCATATCTGAAGTTTGAGCTATTTTAATGAGATAATCTTAAATGAAAGTCCAAGAGACTGTATTTGAAACACACACACACACACACACACACACACACGCACGCACGCACGCACGCACGCACGCACGCATGCATGCACATGCGCATATTATCTTGAATTTTTAACAGTAATAAATACAAGTAAAAACACATTAGTGGTCTTGTTTTACTATAGCAAGCAGCTTGATATTATTTTTGTTAAAAAGCACTTAAATATTCGTTAAGCTATTTTTGTTATTTTAAAGCAGCAGATATGAATAATGATCTCAAATATAACATATTAAGATTATCTATGAACTTTAAGATGTCTTTGTAAGCCTTGAAGCAGGTTTTTAAAAGGATCAATTTTCTTTTAAAATGTTTAGAGATGTTTTTATATAGCCTTGGCAAAGATATGGACCTTGATAAACCTGTTTGCTGATTTTAAAAATCAGTGGTGGTCTTAAAATCATATATATATATGTGTGTGTGTGTGTGTGTGTGTATATATATATGTATATATATATATATAAAATATATCTGAAAGCCCAGAAAAGTGATCTTTCTTAATCCTTGAATAAAGAGTTTAGCATCTCAGGAGAGTAATTTTCCATTGGACAAATTATACCGGAGCAAGAATAATCTCTTAAAATTAACTTGTATCTTCAAGCAATAGGAACCTTGTTGTAGAACCAGAATTGAGACAAGAATCAAGGAGACAACATTTTGACCAGAAAAATATTCAAACTCCAAAACTCATGTTAATTCTCTCAAAAAGATCTAAGACAATTATTCACCTCTATTTGTTTTTCAGAAACGATCATATTCATTTAATATCCTCAACTGGCATACTGGATATGTGGCCAAGCTAACTTAGTCTGTTGGAGTTACGACCTTTTTCCTTAAAATTTTTGTTTTACTGTAAGTGAAAAAGAAACTGGGCTAACTTAATTCCAGTTTGCATAAGAACTGACTTAAAAGCCAGTTTGAGACCAAGTAAAGTATTTTCAAAATAAAGCTCATGTAGACAGTACATACATACATAATTATATATAAGATACTTATCAGCCATCAAGATTTCATCATCACTCTTTGTTAAGATTCTATCTCCTGTACTTTTCATTGTGAAAAGGAAACGTAACACAAAGATCTTTAGTGACTAGATAGATAGATAGATAGATAGATATCCATTGTTATACATATAGTACATTCTTTTAAAAATTTACATTTAAAAGATCCATATTAAGAATTTTGAAAAAGAAATGATTGTATTACCTTTGACTATTACATGAATGAAATGAATTTTAATTAATATATATTTGGTTAAAGCCTGTTTTGAAAGGAAATCCTAATCAAAATTTATGTATATAACATTAAATCTTATAGCTTAATTAAATAACATATACTTAAATATCTCGCTATATAAATCTGATGATGTTTTTTATTAAAACTTTGAGTATTTTATTGCAATTTTATTTTTTGCATAACAGGTCATAATGCCAATTAATACATATTATTACTAGGGATCAAATGAACAAATTATAAAAAGAATTGAAGCAAGGAAGGAATTTTCTGACCTGGTAACAGCAACCTATGTCTTATCTCAGCTTCACAGATGGGCTGTGTGCTCATCCCTGAAGGCAGGAAGAGCGCTTGCAGATTCACACACTTTAGAACTGTTGTATTTTGTTTGTATTTGTCTATGAGATGGCATGTAACAAGGCTTTTGCTCATGTTTCTTTAATGGGAAGTAAAACTGATCTTCACAAATTTTAATTTTAGGAAAATATTCTGCATACAAGTTTGGGATATCTTATTGACAGTGTAGGGGTGCTGAGTTAAAAAAAGATTTATGTAAGTTTATGTTTTGATTTCATTCTTAGTCTTTTTCCCAAGCTTCTGAATCTTGGAATTTAGTTTTGCTTCAGACAAAACTAGACCAAGTCCAAGGCTCCCCTCTTAAAGTATCCTTTAAAAAAATATTTTTATGGCTCTGCAGACGCTGCTGTCTCCTGTAGTCGCTTGCTGTCAGCCATGGTCAACCCCACCGTGTTCTTTGACATCACCGTCGATGGCGAGCCTTTGGGTCGCGTCTCCTTCGAGCTGTTTGCAGACAAAGTTCCAAAGACAGCAGAAAACTTTCGTGCTCTGAGCACTGGAGAGAAAGGATTTGGTTATAAGGGTTCCTCCTTTCACAGAATTATTCCAGGATTCATGTGCCAGGGTGGTGACTTCACACGCCATAATGGCACTGGCGGCAAGTCAATCTATGGGGAGAAATTCGAGGATGAGAACTTCATCCTGAAGCACACAGGTCCTGGTATCTTGTCCATGGCAAATGCTGGACCAAACACGAACGGTTCCCAGTTTTTCATCTGCTCTGCCAAGACTGAGTGGTTGGATGGCAAACACGTGGTCTTTGGGAGGGTGAAAGAAGGCATGAGCGTTGTGGAAGCCATGGAGCGCTTTGGGTCAAAGAATGGCAAGACCAGCAAGAAGATCTCCATTTCCGACTGTGGACAGCTCTAATACTTTTGACTTGTGTGCATCTTAACCACCAGACCATTCCTTCTGTAGCTCAGGAGAGCACCCTCCGCCCCATCTGCTCTCAGTATCCCATCATCTTTCTGCTCTCGATGTCTCGATGCAGTTCTTTGGGTTCCATATTCTCCTTACTCCCCTCCAAGTCTAGCTGGATTTCAGAGTTAAGTTTATGATTATGAATAAAAACTAAAAAGGAAAAATATTTTTATTTATGTGTATTTCATACAGAACATCTTAATCATCTTTATCTCCCCTTCTCCATCATCACCCTCCCATAGCCCCCCACCTCCCCTGCATTTCATGAGTTCTGTCATTGATGTTAAGGCCTATCAGGTCAAGTTAGTGTCCCCAAATGCCCCTCAGTGCAAGTTCATCCACTGAGGTCTATTCAGCCTATGTAGAGTCACTAACTTTAAGAAGATCAGCTCCTCCTCACCTAGCAGTAATCAGCTGCCAATAATTCAAAAGCTAAGGTTGGGGATTGCTGCCGCTTCCCACAGTTCCCTGATGGGGTTTTGTCTGCTTGGGTTCCCATGGGTCTTGTGTATGTTCAAACCATTGCTGTAGGTTCGTATGAGCCAAGTCTCAGGAACCTGTAAGACTCTATTTCAATACGGTCATGCACCTCCACCCCTGGCTCTTACGATCTTTCTGCCCCCTCTTCTGAAATGGTCTCTGAGCCCTGGGTGGGTGAAGGTTAATATAGGAGACCTGTCCAAGGCCCCACACTCTGCAGACACGTTTTCTATGCTTTGGCCACCTGTGTCCTTTTGGGTTTGTGCACCTCTGTTGTTTGAGGGAGGTTCATTGGTGAGAGTTGAGGCATGCGTTGGTACTCTCTCTACCCCTTGTCTACTATGTCCCGTGAGCCTTAGGTATAGAGGCTCCATGGTAGATGTGTCACCTAGGATTTTTAGGACTAGCTAGTATAATAAAGACATTTTAATGTAGACCTAAGCATGAAAGTTGAAATCAAAATAACTGTACACGAAAAGAAAAAAGTGAGATATATCCCAGTATGAGAAGAGCCTCCAAAGGAAAGTGGCCTTTACAAGTGGAATTTTTAATATGGTGTGGAAGCTTCTCCCTTTTCTAAAGTTTTTTTTTATTTTGAATACTTTTAGCTCACGGGTTTTTTGAATAATTCTTATTATTGTAAATTACCAATATTATAATTTTTGCTTTTTTAGATGATTTCATAAATAATTAAAGCAGACTGTGCATTTGTGATGTTTTCGATTTTATTGCCTAGGATTTCTAATTAAGCACATAAAATAAGCCAATTTAGAGATAGTAAATGAGTAAATGTTCCACACACGCACACACGCACCAGCTGAAGGAGCAGACCAGTGAAACCTACAACCAGCTGAAGTTTGGTTTCCTCAAAACATTTACCATTCCTTAGATTAGATATGGGAGAAGTGTCTAAGATAAAGAAAAAGAGGGAAAAAAATTACTGAGGCAGAGGATGAAGTTTTTAAGTAAGGAGACTGAACACTTGCTGCCTCAGCAGAGGGGAACGGGAGGCTGGGTGGGGCTGGCAGCAGGATGGTGGTGCCCTGCTGAGGCGCGTCCCATGCAGGGCTGTGACCCTCTGCCTGTCCACCTTAAGCTACCTAGGGGTGCCTGCTGGGTGCCTGCTAACCAGGTCAGAGAGGGCTCCTGGGAGGGGCTGAGAGGCCTAGGTGCATGTAGAACAGAGAGAGAAGGCAGTTACAGTCCAGGAAAGAGCTTATAGAAGTAGTTGGTATCCAGAGGGAGAACAGAGAGAGTTGGGGAGTGAGTTAGGGACCTCAGACCATTCGTTATTATCCCTGTAGTACTTATCTGAGTCCTGGAAAATGGCAGAATCGAAAGTTCCAAATTCAGGCCAAATATTTCTGTTAGCGAGTTGGTTTTAGGCCAAATTACCTTCACTGTCTTCCAGGCCTGGAGTCTGAGATGAGTAAGACTGGTGCGGGTCATGCCCCTAGCCCACCCCCATGAACCCGAGCACTCTCCCTTCCCCAACTCCTTCCGCCGTTTCTCCAAACCCCTCACGCAGCAAGGGAGCATTAGAACTGCAGCCAAGATGGAAATGAGACACAGTGAGGAGACAGAATGAGCCCATCCTAGACTTCAGCAGAGACGGGAGCAGCTCTGCTCAAGCCTCTGAGGGGGACTGAGGGGGATTCCCCTAGCCTGGATAAACTGTCACTCAAACCCACTGGGGGCGGGGCTGCAGGTTCTGAATGTTCCTCTCTGTGTCTTCCACGCCTCCCCGTCTTTCTTGTGTTTGAGGGACTCCACATTAGAAATTAGGCCCAGGCTTGACCCCAACCCTTGTTTATGACCGGAGAACAGGGGTGGGGGAAATGGATGAGAAGACATCTCCCATGGACACGCCCCGCCCCACCAATGGGCCCTCCCGGCCATCACACAGCAGGTGAAGTCTAAGAGGGTAAGGAGGTAAATTCTAAGGAGGTAAATTCTAAGGGGGCAAGAAGAAAGGTTGTGGGAGGTGCAGGACGACATGATTCATCTTTGGCTAAACAGCAAATTTTAGGCCAGCGTGGCCTAATGGAGACCTGGTCGCAGAAAACCAAACTTTAAGGCTGGGACAGGGGACAGGATGTTGCTAGGGACTTGGGCTGTGTCTGGAGGAGTTCGTCGACACTGACCCTGTCAATCTTCCTTACCTTTGCACAGCCCCTGTGACCCTGGGATGTGTCCTCAGCCCACCTGGACCTCATCCTTTCTCAGGAGCTAAAGACAGTGAGGCAGGATGAAAGGACAGTGCGGGAGAACCATCCCAACGGGAACGCGGACCCACAGCGCTTCTGCCTTTAGTTCTCAGGGCTGGCACCCCTGGTATCTCCTCAGGCTGCGGGAACTGGGAGGTTAAGCTTCAAAGGAAGTCCCTTTTTTTTTTTTTTTTTTTTTTTTTAGAAAGTGCGGCATGGTGGCCGTGGCCGGAACTGGTGCCCAGACAAGGCCCTCTGCAAGAGAAGCCTCTGAGTGGATTCTGGGCTCTCCATTGCTGTCTGTCCAAATGCTGGCCTCTCACAGGCAGTGGAACTCAGGAGACTCTCCAGGTCCGTGTGGACAAAGGGGGTGTCTGTGTGGGTTGTGACTGCGGGGAGGTTGTCTTCTATGACACCACCACGAACAAGCACATCTACACCTCCTGTGCCTCTTTCACTGGGTAGGTCCCCTTTTTCCAGCTCCTAGACACCCTCAGCCAGATCACCCTGATCCCCTAGGGCTGTTCCCTCAAAGCTCCCTCCCTCCCTCCCTTCCCTGCAGGTCTCTCACATTGAGATGCACTGCAGCCGGTAGGGCTGAAGCTTGGCCTGAGTTCCACCTGACACAGGCCTGAGGTCTCGCCTTTCCCTGAATACTGGGTAGAGAAGAAAGGCTCCAGTTCTCCAAAGGCTAAACATGGAGTTATTCACTGTGGCACTTTATAACATGACAATATTGGAAACAGCTCAAACCTCATCAATAGGTGATTGGTGAAGAAGTCACAGGAGAAAGGTCAGTCTGTGGCCTCTTGAGGCATAGCTTCAGGGGGCCGCCCAGCGCCCAGGACCCCTTTCTCCTGCACCTAACTACCCACAGTGCCTGTTGCTCTGGACCTGGCCTGGGCAGGTCTGACCCTCATCCTTTCCTGAGATCTGAAAAGCACCAGGCTGTGTGCACAGTCCAGTAAGAACAATAGCATTCAGGGAAGGTTTGTTTGCTTCTATTTCTAGCCCTGCCCCTCCCACTCTCCCCTCTGTCTCCTGTCTCCCTAGCTACCCTTGAACTCACTGTGTATCTGTAGCCCACACCTGGAGTGCTGGGGTTACAGATGTGTGTCACCAAGCCCAGCTGTGCAGTACTGGGGATTGCACCCAGAGCTTCATGTGTACTAGACAGGCCTCTACCCACTGAGCTGCTTCCCTCTCCAGCACTGCACGACCCTGCGGAAGGAGGATGCACCAACCCTACGGGGCAGTGGGGCAGTCACCTCTAGGCAGAGGGAAGACAGGCCGCAGGGAGGGATGCTTGTCCTTCCTGGACATGGAATCCTTTTCTATTATTAGATTTTATTATCCTGTGAACATTGCGTATCATTTTAAAACATAATTACATTAGACAAAATGAGAGACTGTCTCATGGGCAGACGGTGAGACAAATGAATCTGTCTGGGTAGTTGGCAGGTTACACAGCAAAGAGAAAATACTTTAACTTTGTCTAGGTCTGCGCTGTCAGGCTGTGGTTCTAGCTAACAAAATAGGCTGAGAGAGAAGGATTAACTAAGTCCACAAGTTCAAGGTCAACCTGGGCAGCCAGATGAAACCTCTGTCTCAAAAAACCAAACCAAAAAAAAAAAAAGACAACTTAAAAGTCAGTTCTTTGAATTTATCTTTACTGGGATAAAGAAAAAGTTTCAAATCCTCATTTCTGAGTCATGTCAGCACTGGTGACAGTGGGGTCTTATGGGTCTCTCTCTCTCTCTCTCTCTCTCTCTCTCTCTCTGTGTGTGTGTGTGTGTGTGTGCAGAATAAATATTTAATGATTTATAAAGCCACATCTGCATTCTACATTGTACAAAGAGTCTATACATACATGTGATCAACGGTTTAGCACATACATACTGTTAGTGGTTGATTTGCTTGGTCAGCCTAGCCCCATCCCAGCTCAGACAGCCTGGAGGACAAGGCCTGTACCAGCACACACCAACTAGGCTCAGGAACTCCAGATCTGCCCGATTCCAGGTATTCAGAGAGTAAGGGAAGACGTGACGGAGAGCAGCACAGGCACCAGGTGGTGGCGCACGCCTTTAATCCCAGCACTCGAGAGGCAGAGGCAGGCAGATCTCTGTTCAAGGCCAGCTTGGTCTACAGAGCGAATCCCAGACCAGCTTGGGCTACAGGCAGATCTGTCTCAAAAAGACTTTTGAGGGAGAAAGACAACGGCCCTGGGTCACCCCAAAACTGCGCCATCTGTGACATCACCCATCCAGTACAGACTGGCAAACAACTTATTCCTAGAAATAGAAAGGGGACCACCCTGTATGCTTATTGAGGAGAATCCAAAGTGTGGGGCCCATGGGTGTATTAAAAGCATGCCAGGGAAGCCAGGCACAAGAAATTATCTAGGGACAGATAAGAACAGCAGATCCAGGAAAGGGGGTAATGCCCTTGCTTGGACTCTTAAAGCTGAT